TTTTTGTCCTGTTCCTGGTATTATTGAGCATGGGATGTTAAACATACCAGATTAAAACCCACTGACCACATCTGGGACTGGAGCAGAGCTGGTGTGCAGCTACAAAGCCAAAAAAAAAGGATTTCACAGGTTTGTGAGGAGACGGGGGAAAAATGTCTATGTTGAACTGACTTCACTCAAAAATGTACATGAGTCATGCTAAAACATCTCACTTCATTAGCTGTGTTTACTTCCAGGTCCCAGACAGACAGACCCACAACAACAGGAGGAAACTTTCCCCACACACCAGATCCATACTCTGGTGGAGAATAACAAATAGGTCATTGTTAAGCACCACCTTCCCACAGCCAAAACTAACACTACTACTGAGTAGACACCGCTGGAGAATTAACAGACAGATTCTGGAGTTGTTCCTGGTATTTCTTACCAGGCAATTGCCCTCCTGTGCCGTCCTGTCTGGAAAAATGCCCCATACAGCCCCTCTTGAACACCTTTGGGTCAGTGTAATAGATAAGACATCATAAAAATGCCCCTTTTGGTGCCTGTGAAGCAGTAATCAGGTAAAACAATGCCTGTGTAGATGCCATTCAAGTGTTAAAACATGTAAGTCTAGAACCACCTGGATGCCCAACAAGTGTATAAAATGTAAATGAAATGTATTCTGATTACCCTGTGAACAAAGCTCCCTGCAAATGCATTTTTAGCAATTGAAGTGCACAAGAAATGTAATTTTTCTCAACTCAACTCAACTCAACTCAACTTTATTTGTAGAGCACTTTAAAACAACCACAGCTGTGCAAAGTGCTGTACATAACAGGACAAAACAACAAGATAAAAAACAATCAAGAAACAATTAAAACAATGGATAAAATAAAAGCAGAATTAGTAATAAAATATAGCTTCAATGTTTTTAAAAAACTAATTTAAAAACATAGAAACAAATAACTAAAAACAAACCATAGAACACTAAAACAGGAGCCGAGTCTCATGCAGGGTTAAAAGCCAATGAATAAAAATGGGTTTTAAGACGAGTTTTAAAACAACAAACAATCCTCTGCAACGGTTTCTTACAGTCCTGGGAAAATGTGATGTAGCTTTTAGCGGAAATAGAAACCTGTCTGAACATTTAGTCAAAGATACACATTTCCTGTGCTGTGAGGAAAAGGGAAGAAAAAGCGGTACCCGCTCTGGTGGCCTTGGTGTGTCTCCAAGGCTCCCATGGTGTGTTAAGTTTGTGTACAGGTCATCCATCACATAAGTCTCTGTGGTGGGGGGAGTCATCTCTCACCCCTGCTAAGACTCAATCTGGAGGCTGGACGAAGTCTCCATTGTGCCTGCAGCATCCTGCAGCCCTCTGGCTACGTTCTGACTGCCTTTTATAGCACTTTGTTTATGACACTGGGCCATAGTGCTGAGCTAAACCTCCACTGTGGCATTGTAATAAACCTCAATTCACCTCCATATTCATAAACATAATTAACCAACAGGAAAATGAACTCATGTCAGATCTGTACACTGGAAGGGGAACATGCTATGAATATAAAAAAAAAAAAAACACTTAAAAATATGAGAACTGCTTTATAAGACTGATGAAACGATCTTTGTTTGACTTTCTTCTCTCTGTACTTCACACAAGCTAAAGCCAATTTCCTCACTGGGGATGAAGCAGACTGTCCAGAGCTACTCTGATTGCCATTATGAATAATGTAGTTTTCAATAGCGGCCTGAGACTGGAAAAAAATGACTTGGCACTATGCTTTTTTGTTTGATTCAATGACAATATAAAAAAGGTAAATAAACTACATATATGTGGTTTGTTATGTTCAAATACATTATAACATCAAAGTCCACAAAATTCTCTGGTAACACTTCATATAAATCCTTATATATACACACTAATAATGCATCACAAGCACATTTATAAATTCGTATAAGTGAATATAAAAGGCTTTATAATGATCCTCATAATTGATAAGCATTCAAAACAACATATCGGAATGTTTATGAAGTTTTATAAGCAGTGAATGAGAGTATATATACTTTCATGATTCAAAAGACACATACTATAGTTATCTGTATTTTAATTCATACTTACAATATTATAGCGTTGGATGTCCACATTAAACTGAAGTTTAATGACATGATGTATAAATGAAGGTGCATCCCCTATACATGTTTTCCAGGATCTCTGAACAGCTTGGTTTGAGGCACAGCAACAACCTTACATCAGGTTGTGTCAGCCTTTTAGGACAATGCTGAAGGACACACCTACCTGACAGCTCTGTCATGTACATGCTCACCTGGAAACAGGACAGTCCGTTTCACCCTCATCTTTTTTGTCTGCTCTGCACTTTGTTGTGTCAGTCTGTCTCGTGAAGTTTCTTCATGGTTGTGAAGGAAAGTCATGGCCATTTCCTCTTCACAATAACAAAGGCAGCGGGAGGGAATGGGATTTTTTATAATATTTTTAGGGCAACGCTGTAGCCGTTGTAAACAAATGCTTTGAATGAGCTGGCTTTGAGTATAAGCTGTTACTGATACTTTGAGCTGTTCATCGATCAAGATCTTCATTAGGGGTCAGAACCACAAGCTGGAAGGAACATTACAATAGCAGACATTTTAACAATAGCCAATGTACGCTAATGTGGCTAAATGGATTGCTAGCTGGGGTGTAAACAGCAAGCCTGGGGTGTTTTCGGTGAAGGCACAACTTTCAGGTCATTTCATGTCTATGAAGACAAAAAGTAACACCCATGAGCTGTGTCTTACTCTCCATCAGTGGAAAAGCGGCTACAATTAAGCATTTCAGGCAAATACTGAATAGTGCTCAAATGAGGGTGCTCATGGATGTCAGAACAAGCTAAATAAGGATTTTATTTGAGCTGCAAATTATGCAAAGCTACTCCTAGACTAACATAATACCAGAAGACTACATATAAACCTATAGTACAACTAAATTTCTTGTAGTCAGACGACCATAAAGCAGCAGGGATTAATTTTCTCCTTCATGTACATGCACCTCAAATGGGCTCAAACTGGCCTCAGTGTTCTGCACATGCTCAATAGCTCATGTCAGGCTGTGACATGGAAGTCACGTAGTATGAAGTTGCAGAAGTAAACCAGTTGAAAACTTAAACAGAGAAGGAATGTTGAATTCACCATTAGCCTCTTGCTAATGTGTTTGTTGGTTGTTTTGGTGCATGATATAATAGGTCAGTAGTAACATGCTGAACAGAGCATTTCATCACCTACTGTAGCAGAGAAGGACATACTTATGTACTTGTATCAACTGAATCCTGCCTCATGCTGGTAGACTGATTAAAGGACAGTAGTCTAATCAAATTATGTTACCCAGTTATAACTGTAGCTCACTGATTGCTGGTGGTGCTCACCAACCCTGCCTCTGGCTTTCATGATGAATTGGCAGAATAAGGTAAATGAGTTAAAACAAGGTGAACAAAATGTTTTACCCCCTGTATAATAACTTAAGCAATTTATGTGAATACAGGAGTAGGATCAAACAAGTTGATATGAAGCAGAAACCTCCAGATGTTGTGAGGCTCAAGTCTGTTAGGTTGCCCTAAATGTAGATTTAGTGAACTTTTTTTTTTTTTAGTATAGTGATCATTATCCTTCATTTTCTACAGATAATTTCAGTGTTTGCTGTTTTCTTATACTTCTTTTTCTCGTTTAGTTGTTTGTCCTTTTGAACTTCTGCTGTTGAACTTTTATTTTTAACCTTCAAAATAAAGACATCAATCAACCTAAGTAGAAGCAGACTAAACAGCCATGTGTGGAAGCTCCCAGTGTTGGTAAACTGACCATTCATGGTGTTATCTTGTAAATACTGCAGCACATTTAACAATGACAGCGACACTATAGTACCTAAAAAACAGCATGTACAGAGTGGCAGCAGTTTTGTGGTTTCTGGGCTAGGTTTATTAGCTGTTGGCCGACTTAAGGGCTGTTCTTGAGCGGCTGTTTTTGTCACACAGACCTGGCAACCCACCATTAGGCGATACTTTCGTATCTGAGCTTCCCCTCCAGATAACTGTCTCCCTTTGCTGCCCTCCCACCTCCCTCCCAGCTGTATTGTTCATGTGGCATTGTATTTATTGTGCAAACACACACAGTGCAAGAGCCCATGTTAGGTAAGAACAGGCTGTGGCGTCAAACACCTAAGGCCTGACAGGGGAGAGCATAAGCCCTGCACTGCACAGCTGCTGAGAAGCCATTGTGTAACATTTCAGTTTCACAGTCCACAGACCTTATAATGAGGAGGATTTTATCACAGGTACACAGCAGGAGAAGAATGTCAATATTTACACAGATGGTAATTATGAGATTCCATCTGTTTGCTGAGAAAGTGGATGACAATATGCTGTATCATAAAACAGCACTCTTCCTATCGGTAGGCTGTAAAGTCACACCGCTTCGGCTTGCTCAGGGAACATCAAAATGTCATTGGTAAGGAGCAGGAACGCAAGCAGTGTCAGGTGTGTCCCTCCGCCACAAAGACTATCAGGCTCAGTTTAACCATGTAATGGAAAGAACAGGGGCATATGTGATTTCTATTATATGGTGGCTCTATCTGGCAACAGTAACTCCAAAACTGTAAAGCAATATCACTACAATGAACTCTTTGTTTGACCATAGGTTTTATTAGCATCGAAGCACAACCTCTGACTAAACGAGCCGTTAAAACGGCTTGTCACCACATAAAACCTCAATATATCGTTTCAGCCCTTATTCTTGTGGCTGTTAGATGTCTAAAAAAATAATTACAGTGATTGTATAGTGCCGCACAAGATATTTACTGCAAATCTGCTTGAGTTAAATAGTCCATAGCACATGAAAGGCAAAGCACTACCGTAAATAGAACTATGCGGGTGATTGAGCACAAAACCTTCCAATCAACAGGCTAGTTCTGGGGTTGTTCATGACGAAGCAACTCGTAGCCAATAAGAGCTCGTTGCTGGGTGTTGACCTCTGCGAGCCGCATCACCACCCCCTCCATGTCCGTGGCGGAGGACTACTATAAAAACAAATCAGCCCAAGTTTTAAAGGGCAGAGTTGTAAAAACTCCCAGGCTGTGGGGAGTTGGCTTGTTAGCCTGCGAATCGGAATTTAAAAACACCCAAGAGAAACAGAACCGCCTGGAGCTTTATAAACGCAATTTTTAACTTCTTCTAAGAAGCTTTTCGAGAGGCCGTGTTGGCTTAACGCTTGCTGGGACTGACTTTGGCTCGAGAAAGAAGGATCTTCTGTGAATTTCCATGTAAGTCAACATAAATATCGGTATAAAATTATTATTTTTTCGATGAAATTGATCCGTCAAAGCCTAAAGATTGTTATACCGAGGTTTAAAATCGACACTGAGTGTTGGTGTTTTGGAAAATCTCCGACTGTAGCCACCTAGCTGATTAAAATGCTATGTAACTTAGCCTCCCGTCGATGAACTCGGTCCAGATTAAAGTGAATATCATGTTATCACCGCTGTTAGCAGGGACGCTTGTTACCATTGGCTGTCAGGGGACATTTATCTTCCTCCTGCTGTACACAGTGTCACAGCGAGGAAACGCTGATTACCAGCTGGACGAAGCTAAACATTAACAGGATCTGGCGTCTAGATAGCTAGCCTGCTACATGTGTGTTCACACCCTTCATTAAGTTGGCCAGGCTTCTGCTGGTGGAGAGCTGTAATATGTGATAGGAAAGCAGGTCGTTATTTTGCATTTATTGACGCTGTCGTTACGCCACTGAGTGAGTGTGTGTGTACTCTGGCTTTATGGTCGTGGTTAGACTTTGAATGTGGATTATGTAACAGCCATTCTCGACGCAGGCTTGTACGTGCTCCTCTATCTGTATGTACTGTAGCTTGGTCTGAGTGAAGGTTAGCAGCACATCAGTCTTCCACCTCCACGCACGAGACAGGATACCTGCCTGGACACGTCCCCGTGCCAAATGGAGCCAAATCGAAAACCCAACTGACTATTGACACCTGCTGTCACATCCACCGCCCTCCGTAGAGGTCAACCTCGCTGGCGTATTTAGTCAGAGCGGACCGCTGGGGAGCACTCACTGCTGACACCGTCTCTGAGTCAGTGGCCTCTGTTTATTTATAGCTGTTGATATTGTGCAGCTGAGAGGGAGCAGAGCTGGGCTCAGGGGGGAGTGAACGGGGCAGACTCGGTGTTAGAAGCTCATTCAGATGAGGTTTCAGTACGGTGGGGATTAGGGGCACATTCAGAACGAAAACGAATCCGAATTTCTAGGATAAAATAACACAAATAGTGTCATAGTATTATAATGTTAAGGTCTTAATACCAAGAGAATATTGTCAGAGTGTCACGTGAATTAGGCCGAGGTATTTTATGACAGTAACGCCATCTTACCACGAGAAAAGTTTTATTATTTCAAGATTCAAATATTCAAGCAGTAAATATACTAAAATAAAGTAAAAGTTGTTAAAAGAATCAAGTTTGAATACAAGGAATGAGAATGAAGTCATATGACTGAGTGTTCACTCATTCCTTAAAGCTACACCAGGCTAGATTTTGTTATGCACCATCTTCCTCCTCACTGAAGCAGGCTCCTGGCTGCTCACCAGGTACCCCCCCCCCCCCCCCCAAACAACAAGCTGAATATTTACTAAAATAACACATTGTTTCTTAACATTACTGATGTTGCAGCTTTAGCAACCTCATAATATAGCTCAAGACTTTACGTTCTTACAAATGTATTCTTGTACCATTTAAGATACAATTCTCCTGAAATATTAGTCAAACTTTTTTCATAATGCTATGGCTTTATTTTTTACGACTATCTTTTTAAACTGACACTTTTATTTTGGTAATTTCAGACTATATTTCCATATGACTTTACAAAAAAACACTAATATTTTCTGTAATGCCACAACTTATTTTTCTAAATCTTTATTTTAGTTATGCTACAGCTCTTGCAAATATGTAACTCATATCTCTTAAAACAACTTCTTGCAGTACTACCCCTGTAGTTTTGCAACATAATGGCTACATTTGCATTATTATACAACTTTAAATTGTTAAATGAGTTTGTTCTGGCAATACTGTGACTATCAACTTTTTTTTATTGTTGTTCTTTTTCTTTTGAATTTTATTACTTTCCTTCTCATAATAATGATGCAACTTTGTTCTAGTAATACTTCAAAGTTATTCTAATAATATTATTACTTCAGTCTAACAGAACTATACATTTATTTCCTTATGCCTTAATTCTTATAATACCAAGTTTTTATATTATGTGGCAGTACTCCTTTTCCCTGATAGTGTGGAATGTAAAACATAATGTTCTGCTTCATACACAATTTGATCAAATATACTAAGAGTTCTTTTTCGTTTTGTTGTTGTTGTTTCAGGATCCTGAACCCAACACTACTGCAGGAAGGATATTCATTTTGGACAGAAGCTCTCGGTCAGTCTTTCCTTCAGCCGATCACTGCTGCCTTGGAGGTTTTTGCAACACTCAGAAAAAGCAACCCTGTGACAGATAAAGAAACCCCCTCACCACTGAAGCAGCTATGCAGCTTGAAATTCAAGTAGCACTCAATTTTATTATTTCCTATTTATACAACAAACTCCCTCGACGACGTGTGAATATCTTTGGTGAAGAGCTCGAGAGGCAGCTCAAGAAGAAGTATGAAGGCCACTGGTATCCGGACAAGCCATACAAAGGGTCAGGGTTCAGGTGCATCCATGTAGGGGAGAAGGTGGACCCTGTGGTGGAGCAGGCAGCCAAAGAGAGTGGGCTGGACATCGAAGATGTCCGGAATAACCTCCCTCAGGACCTTAGCGTGTGGATCGACCCATTTGAGGTGTCCTACCAGATTGGGGAGAAGGGACCAGTTAAGGTGCTATATGTGGATGATAACAATGAGAACGGCTCAGAGCTGGACAAAGAGATCAAGAACAGCTTTAACCCTGAGGCGCAGGTCTTCATGCCAATCAGCGACCCTGTCGGGGCTTCCTCAGAGTCCAGCTCCCCCTCCCCTCCTTTCGGGCAGTCTGCTGCTGTGAGCCCCTCCTTCATGCCACGCTCCACCCAGCCCTTAACCTTCACCACTGCCACCTTTGCTGCCACCAAATTTGGCTCCACTAAGATGAAGAGCAGCGGCCGGGGCAACAATGCCAACAGCAGCAGTAGCAGTAAGGTGGCTCGCACCTCCCCCACCAACAACCTGGGTCTGAATGTCAACACCCTGCTGAAGCAGAAAGCCATCTCCACCTCCATGCACTCACTGTATGGGCTGGGCCTGGGTCAGCAACAGCAGAAGGCCTCTGCTCTCTCCCCCAACGCCAAGGAGTTTGTGTTCCCCAGCCTGCAGGGCCAGGCCAGCCCTGGAGCCGTGTTCCCCGGGGAGGGCTCCTTGGGACTGGGCCCCCTGCAGTACAACAATGCCTTTGACATGTTCGCGGCCTACGGAAGCCTCAATGACAAGTCCCTTATGGATGGCCTCAACTTCAGTCTGAGCAACATGCAGTATTCTAACCAGCAATTCCAGCCAGTCATGGCTAACTAAACTCGTCATCCAGATGTTATTTATGAATGATGGTGGCTCAAAGAGAAGGAAAAACAAAACGCACACTTAGAAAAAACTGGACTTTCAAGGATCTAGTCTAGTCAGTTAAGCGCATGTGCCCAAGGGTGTTTTTACTGTGCCCCCTTGAGTTGTTTCTACTAAAAGCTTGTTGTACAAACACATCCAAGCTTGGTTACTTCAAGTCAACATGCATCCTTGTTTTTCTTTTTCCTTTTTGCCAACCAAGCACAAAATTTTTTACCATGTTGAGAAAATTCTCCAAAAACTTAAGAAAAAAAAAAAAAAAAAGAAAAAAAATTCAAGCTTCAAGTTTGGCCTCTTACAGTATTTTACAGGTGGTAAGACAAGGCTGATTTTTATGAATTGGCACTACTAAGTGGGGTTACTTGGTCTTTTTCTAATTGTATAATTTAATTTAGTACAGAGTTTGTAAGATATCAGAGTATATATTGTTTCTATGACATGGTGTTGCATTTATATCTTTTTACTACTCCAGTGATCTGTGATGGCTGCAGCAGCTTTTCCTTATTTTTCTTTTTTTAAAGATAATTGTTAAAGAAATCCATCTTTAAAAAATACATCAAATATTCTGAAGATTGTGTACAGAGTATTCCTTAGTGGTGGAATTCAAGTGTAGGAATATTTGCTTTTTTTCTGAAAGATGAATTGTATTTTCTGTTAAGAGGTTAAAAAGATTTTTGCTATACTATGGACAAAATGTAATCGTATGAATATTAATTTTGTACCTACATTGTGCAATACTTGATAAAAAATACGGTATAACAAAGTATTTTGAGTCAGTGTCTTACATGTCAAGAGGGACTGAAATAGTTTATATTGTTAAGTTTGTATTAAATGCTTAAAAATTATATGCTTGTCTTTATTTTTTTTAATTTCATATTTGCACCCTGGTCTTTTTAATAAAATAAATTACAGTTGAACATGATCTGTGGGGAGCGGATTCATTTCTTTTTACTGCTTTGTTTACACAGTGACTCCAGTTTTTAATATTTAACCTGCTGCAGACTTGGCTATTGGGCAATCAGCAGCTTGAGCAGATAACAGCACTGATGGTCACATGCTTCGAGTCGCATCTCTGTGCCATGAGGGCAACTTGAGGTCAAAAATGTACTCGCAACGCTGCTGTTTATGTGGCAAAACAAAGCTGTAGCTCAAAAAGTGTCAGCTGTGGATCAGTGGAGGGTTTGAATTTAGAGTTTAATGTTGCCATGTCACAGTGTAGCTGTGAAGACAGGTGGAGAGCTATTTATGATCACGCACTGAGGCACTAAGACGCGTTGCCTTTCATCGAAGGCTTTACCTTTTGTTGATTCTGGAGGTGGATACGTTTGACGTCAATACCAGCATCTTTGTTAAGTGTTGAACAACACATGGCAAGTGATGGAGTATAAAAAGTAGGCATTTTGAAGACTAATGCTCACAAAACAATGCAGGTATTTCTGGATCAACTCTTATGACAATGAGTGAAATATTCTAATCTTCTATTATAACATTAGTCCTGCTAAAATGTTAACAGTGCCTAAAGCTTTTAACACCACTCACAGTATGGGAGAGAGTGGTGTGTTTGGTTTTATCATGGCCTTGGATGTCATGTGAAAGGAGAACAAGCCAAACATTCATCAGGAGCTCTAACAGCATAACTCACTGACTACATAATCACATTAGCGATCATGTATGACTCAAAGGTCTGAGGAGGAAAACAGCCCAATGATTCCTCCTCCTGACTTCCTCATACACTGAAGTGTCAATATAGTTGGGCAAATGCAGCTAAATACACCTACAGCCTGTTTAAAATGCCTGTAAATAACACAAATATAGGTAGTTACATCTTAAAGTGCCAGAGTAACATACAAATGCTGTAAGAGCCCTACATATTACTATTATGTAACTACTCATACACTCTATGTCTGTGCTGCCATAAAAAGAAAACTTCTTTGAAAAACTTTACACTTTATTTAAAGGGAAAACAAACAAAAACAAAAGCAATGCAACAAAGTGAAAGAGCTCAGCTGTAGTGGAGTTCATCTTTACCTATAAATGCTGAATTTTATTTGGAAAATATGCTGCAATTAAACTGTCTGCAAAGTGTTCCTTGCATAACATAATCCCAACTGAACTGTGTCCCCTGACAGTCCATCAAGGTTATCACTACTGAGACTTTTGTGTTACAGTTAAGTGCCTTCAGTTTTCATGGAACAGTATGCAGCTTCTTCATTGAAAGAAAAAAGCTGTAATTCTACTCAATAGGACACAAGATTGAATGGTTTTCGGATGCTTTCAGTTGACTACTGTAACTCAGTAAATATTTTATTTGTTTTTGATGAACATTCTAAAAACTTCTTGGTAAAATGTCCTAGAGATAAATATAAAAGAAAGTGCCCTCTAGAGGCTCTCCCAGTTGATAAAACGTACATACAGTGCCCTTTAAAAGCCTTTTTAGTTAACTATATGTAAACAAAGTTGTGTATGGATCCCTTTTAGTTGATACGAATCATATTGTCCAGTGGATGTCTTTGCAGCTTATAAAATGTGAAAAAAGAGCCCCCTTGGTGCCTTTGAGTTGATAAAACATAATCAGTGCCCTTCAAAATGATAAAACATCATACTGCTTGACCTTCCAGTTGGTAGAATGTAAACAAAGTGCCCTTACAGTCTGAAATGTAAGCAGCGACATCTGGAAGCTCTTCACATTCAAAGTATGTAAACAAAGCTTGGTCTGGATGCCCTACCAGCAGATCAAATGTGAACAAAGTACCCTCTTATGTCAAACAGTTGGTAAACAAAGTGCCTCCTACGTTCCCAGGTGCTCTCGATAAATGCCTGGATGCCCTTCCAGTCGATGCACTGTAGAGTGCCTTCAGGTTTATGACTTCAGTTTTAAATTATATTTAACCTTTTTTTATATATATATATACATATTTTTATGGCTTGCTCGAATGCTGTACATAAGAATACACAGAAATGGATGCAAAACCTGCAAACAAACCAAGAGGTGCTGCTGCGGTCAGAGAGTAAAAGGTTCATAAGTCCTGCCTAAATAGACTCAGCCTTGACTGATTCCAGGGGCCTATTCTATGAAGCAGGATTACTGCTTAGCGAGGGTAAGTTCGAGGTTTCCTGTTCTACGACGCGGGTTCACTTCTTAGCGAGGCGAGTCTCCATGGCAACATACGCTGAACGGCTAACCTGCTTTGGGGCAGGTTAGGTTCCAGATTGAGCTCACTGAGTATAAAAACCCCGCCCACTGACCAATGAGCTCTCTCAAAAAATGGCTTGTCCGTTCTTGGAAGATCCTATAGACCTCGGTGCTCACATTATCCGAGGAGCACTCTGGCGCGCGAGAGTTTTAAGGGAACGCACGGACCCACTTACCTTTCCGGATGACCACCTTTATGAAAGGCTCATATGGCTTACATATCACAAAAAAATGTAAACACGATAGGAATGAACAAATGAATGAATTCATCTTGGAAATGAATTAGACATGTCTGGTGCATGTTAAAAGCACGTTGAACAGTGCTATTTCAGGGTGATAATGGCATCTAAGATTTTTTGCGCACTATACTTACGCATTGAGACTGTCGGCAATTTTCCAGCAGCATTCCTTCTGTGCTTTTGCAGCGGCGACGGTGTTGCTTTTGAGGTTTATGATAGATTTGAATTCTTCATACTTTCTCATGATCGTCTCCTGCTCCTCGTTTGTAAAGTACGCAGTCCTTCGCTCTCCGGCCTGCTCTGACGCTCCAGACTGTTCGCAATTGGTCAGATGTGGCGGGCTCCGCCTTACATGCGTGCATGCGCTCATAGCAAAGCTGGATCCACTTACGAGGTTGATAACCAGCGTCGTAAGACCATTTAGTGAGACCGCTGGCTACCGCGTTAAGTTGAGCTCCAAGACTACCTGGCTCGGTTGAACTTGCTTCGTAGAATAGACCCCTGGTGTTTCCAACTCCAAACAATCAGGCCAGAAAACAACACAAGAAACAGACACACCAAAACAGGAGGAAACCCTGACATAACACTGCCTTATATTTGGACAAGGCAAGCGCTAAAATAACTTTCGTAGATGTAGCCATCTTGCTTCCGCCTCCAATTTTGCTTTTTTCCAACTTGGTAACTGAAATGCTGGTAACTCTGGTGTGATATCATTTTCAGCTCGGACTTCTGACTTCCGAGGTAAGTCGAACGCAGCATAATACCTCTTCTTTAGGTCTGCTGCATTTTTTTGTATTCGTTAATGATTTTTGGTTTCCTAAATTATCCACCGTGATAATTGTGTTCTGAAAGGATAAATTTCTGATTTTGTCTGATGGCTTTGAAGAGAATGAGAAAAATATCACCAGCTAAACTTTTCCTGTTCACATGTCATTAAACCCGGCCTTTCACTAAATACTGTTTAATGTGGCTGCAAACAATTATTTAATCAGAACCAATCCCAAACCAAAAACGGGTTTAGGAACATTGAGCTGATATTAGAATAACAAAGCCTCAGCAGTTTGAGATGCAGCTAGTTGAAAAGTTAAAACTTTAAGAAACAAAAATCTGAGTTTGAACGAGTGCGTCAAATAATGTGCTCAGGAAGTGCACAGAGTTGCATATTACTTCCTGAACAGCTTAGGGGAGAATATTTGCAAAAGATTAGAGGGAAAGTGTTGTTCTCAGCTGTTCTTGAAACGCTTCAGGTTGATGTTATGAATATGATCTCTGCCTCTGTAATCAGACACTCAGACTTTGAGGCTGATTTTAAGCAGCATTGAACTGTACAGGATGTGCGACAGTGAGTTTAGTGGAGGCGTGTGCTGATGGTCAGTAAATATTGTGAGGTGTAAATCCGGCTAGGTGCTATTTCAGGGACTCTTAACTATCCAAAGCAAAGTCCACTTCCATGGAGTGTGTTGTTGTAATTAACTGGGTCGGCCTGTACCAGAGAAACTATTTCAGTCCTCAGCCCAATTTGCTACTTTTCAATACTGGAGTCTTTCATGCCTCGCAGTCCAGTGGAAAAATATTCAAAACACACACACACATACACACGCAATTATTCACACACTCACACAGTTCCACATGACTAGCTGGGCTCTCTGGGATAAACAGGCCCACAGATGGTCTGGTGTCACACCATCTGGGAGACTCCCAGGGTGTGGGGTGTTGCCTTGCTGTGACTCCATCTTGTCTGTTCCAGAGCTAGCTCTCCCCCCGTTTCAGAGATACACGCCTGACACGAGCTTCACGTAATCTCCCTCTCTCTCTCTCTCTCACTCTCACTCTCTCCCCTGCAGGGCTGTGCACTCTGCATACACAACCTGTGTTTGTTCTGGAGGGTGTTCCTGAGCTGAGCTGTGGATAAATACAGTTTGAGACTGTAAGAAAGGAAACTTATTGGAGTTCAGGGTGGTCTAATTAACCTCATTTTCATATTTAATACACTATCTTTATTACAATGTTTAAGATTAAAGGAACATTTCGAGATTTTTCATCAATGTGCTTGCTCTTAAACATTTCCCTGTATGCTGAGAACTAAGGCTGCCATGATATATACTGTAATTATTGTGGCTGTAAAATGCATTAAGTGTTATGAGTGATTTAACATCTGTGTTTTAGAAAATATTTTAGTCTATTTAATTTTTTTTTTTCATTTTTAAAGGTTTTTACTTTTTAGATCAGTTACGAACTTTTTAAAAGTTTAAAAATATATTGTTTTGAATTGTTTTTTCATTTTACACAATATACTAATGTTCATGTATGTTTTTGTCAAAAAGTGTTTTTGCATTTCACAAATTTTTTTGTGTTTTTGAAAACTTTTTTGAGTAAAATGATGATCTAAAACGTTTTTGCATCTCACAAAAAAACTTTTGTTTAACTTCCCAAAATATTCATTAATTTTGAGATTTTTTTTTGTGGTCTGTAAAATGTTTTTCATGGCCTTGATGAAGGTTTGTGTGATTGGCCTCCAGGGCCACCACAGTTTTGTTGGTGCAATGCTAAGAGCTATGTTCTTCAAACTTTGCGGATTTTTGTCTAACCTCGTTCAGCTGATTGCAGAGTAACGCCACTGTGTATCCTCCTCTAACTCATAGCAGACAGCAAACTAGCCTAAATATATGATTTGAAAGACTGTTAGGCAATAATCATTTGAATACATTAACCCATAACAACAGTTGGGCTGTCTGGGGGTTTAAACAGGATAAACAGAATAATTATTTGGTCTAATATTTACTTTGTCTCCTGGTTATTATGTCAAGACTCTGCGTCACATCTGCTCCCTAATATTAGACGACTACTTATAGACCAACACATAATACTGGTTTAGCTGGTTTAAAGATAGAACAATATTGCTTGAGCAAACCGTCCTGCACGTCATCATGCTTATGATCTTTATACTGTCTCTAAGGATCCACTATGAGACCAAAATCTCAACAAAAGTTCAGATGGCTGATGATGACGATTGTAGCATCTGGTGAAAAGGATATTTCGGTCTTTTAAAGGTGCAGTTTGTTATATTTGGCTGCATTTTACCAGAACTCTCTTGGTGGAAATGACTTAAAATATTGCACCGCCATGTTTCTATGGCACTTCAGAATGGCCAAACTGGTAACAGTCCCATGTGTTGGTTGTATTTAGTGGCTGTAGAAGCAGCAGCTGTAGTCATAGCTGTCTGAAATGTCATAGACAGTGTTAGTTTGCACTCAAAGGAATTTTCTATGGTACATACCTGACTAATGGGCGATTATATTAAGTCAGCATCATAGAAGCTTGTAGCTCTTGAAGGCCAAACAGCTGCTGCAACTTATACAACTATGATTTAAATAGTTCAAATTTAACACAGCAGCCATCTTTGTGTGACTTTTCTTCAAACACATCTTCAGTGGTCCAGAACATGGGGTTATACAATAAAAAAAGAAAAAAAAGTAAGAGATAACACATAGTGAATGTGTAGTTATAGAGTAGGGTGACCAAACGTCCTGAAAATGTCCTGGTTATCATTGTTTTTCATTAGGCCACCAATATTCAGATGGACAAACAAGGAGGATGAGAAAGAAAGCAGCATGAAGAGGAAAACTAAGATGAAGAAGAAAACTATAGCGATAAATATTTTTTTAGTTTTTGTAGGTTTGCGAGTACTATTTTTGTTAAAGCTGGACTGCTGATATAGAAGAGGTATTTTTTTTATTTATTATTTATTTATGTTTCTAAAAAAGAAAAGACATTATTTCTATTATTTCATTTTTTTTTTAAACATGTCATCATAAAACATGTTGAGCAACCTCTGAGAAGCCTATCTGAATTTGTGTCTTTGGTTATAGAGTGTATTATGACAATTTTCTATCCAAACAGAGGAGGCATACTTCAAATGTATTGAAATAATAAGACATTTTTAATACTTTGAGTAACATTTGAGTATCTCATTGCCAGGCTTAGTGTCCCGTTTTTCGATAATTAAAGATGGTCACCCTTTATTAGCATCCAGTCTCCCACTGTCATTCCAATAACGACCAATATACCATACATCATCTTGCTAATTACCCGACTGCCAATTAAAGTCATAAATATGTTGACAGTACATGTTGGTTGAATGACGGTTTTATTGATTAAAGAATGATATACTGTAAAACGTTAGAAGCAGCCCAGGGTTTTATCTGTTTCAGTCTATAAACTTGCCCTTCCTTTATTCAGGACAGGCATTAATAAGAATCAGGCTTTTAGTTAATTCAGACCAAAACTAACATTTGGCATGTAGTTTCCATTGTTGTTTCAGTCTTCATTAGGATAGGACTAAAACATCTTCAATCTTTAAAGCCAGCAAAGGCAGTAAACATACACCTCTATCTCTTCTTAATCACCAGAGGACACATTTCTTCAGCCTTTTCCTGATCAATCTGTTGCAGACTGATGTTGTTCAGTGAAATGCCCTCCCCAGCTTTCACTGAGGCTAACTGTGAACCCTTCTCCCACCATACTCACCTTCTCTACTCTCTATGTAAGTGAGAGTTGCCTTTATTTGTCCAAATGTGCAGCTCCGCTCTGCTTCTTAACGAGACAGCGTTTCATTTGGATAGGCTTCTATTAAGAGTTTTACGGTAATTCCACCTCTGTTAGCACTGCCAAAACAACAGATTATAATCCTCCCTGCAGCACTAACAAACATAGAGAAGGATCTCTGCACACCTGACTGGGCAACAGGTGTGTCAGTGGAGGGCAGACCAAATTTGTTCTTCTGATGCTGCACCTTAAAAAATAAAAAAGGCTGTTGTCCCTACTTTAAACACTGCTCACTACCTCAGGTTTTTTTTTAAACTTTTGTAGCAACCAGGAACTCAGAAGCACCTTCACCAGCAGTGTGGCTCTTGCCTCTATTGCAGGACAGGATCTGATATTAAAATATTTATGTGGTTTAAGCTTATCCACGCAAATAAAAACTAGCATTGTTTGCTATATTGTTAACTAATGATGCTAGCGGAAACTAATACCTATGCCACATTGTCAGCAAGCATTTGTTGCTCACCATTTTCAACATTGTAGCTCACCTGGGGGATATGCTGTTTAAGCTGAGTGCCATCACAGAGACTCTCCTGCCGAATGCATACAATGCTACTGCACAAGTGGTGGTTACAGGAAGCGGAGAAAATCCCAGAAATACCAACAGCAATTTGGCTTCAAATCCAAATGATGATGGAAGGCGGAGCCAAGTTGTCCATGGTATATACAGTCTATGGTTTTGACCAATCAGAATCAAATATTTAACACCACTGGGTAATACATCCTGGCAAGTAAGGTCACAATGATGTAGGCGCTGTGGAGTACGGCCTATTGAGCTGAATGATATCCACACAAGTTCACTTTTCTCTGTTGTTCAAACACTCACACTGAAGGCTTAATTTCGAGGCTCTGACCAGCTGAAGTGTTGTAAACACAGTATTTATGAGGCAAAGGGTGAGCAGAGTGAGTCATGCTGAAGTGCAGATGATACATTTCTCCTGATTTTTTATCACCAAGGCTTCCAGCAAGGACAGGCGGGTGTGAGTGTTTCAGCACAGAGCCAGGTCACATGGAGCAGCAGGGAGGGTTATCTGACATGTTTTGATTTTCCCTGGTAGCAGATCAAGATTGCGCATCAGATTATGTGGAGTTAAACTGTAGAAACAATACTTTCCACCGTCTCAGAGAAAGGTAAAAAGTGCTGGTGGGTTTTGACTTTAACCAACATTGTCAGCTCTATAATAAGCACGTGAATAGAGCTGCTGCCTCCTCTAGTTTTGGAAAGAAAGTTTAGCACCTGTTCCTGGTTATTGAGTTTGGCACGTGCAGCCCAGCAGGAACACTCACGGCCTGGAGAAACTGCCACGCGTGCGGGAAGCACATCTGCAATTTCAGGGAAGCTCAACATTTCTCTTGATTAAGAAAAAAAGAGCAGAGATAAAGAGGATATAAAAAAGCCCCATCCAGGCTGTGTTATTCCCTGATAAACCCGGACCTGAGACTTTAATGAATACAGGCTGCTCTGCATTTGGCTAGGACTGAAACCTCACTCAGCCCCTGTTTCAAGTGCTGCCAAGTCATTTTAGTCGGGATCATCCATTCAACCCTAGTCTTATTCCAAGCCAGATAATCATTCAACCTAGAAGCACCACCTCTCAGCAGTATGGAGTCATAATCCATACTTCACTGTGGCTCTATCAGCCTGAGAGGAAGGAAAGAGAGAAGAGTATTGTTGCCTCTGCCTCTCCTCTAGCTGTCTGTTTGTTTTGGTTTGGAGGCGCAGTTGAAGGTTACAGTACTGAAAGGGTGTTGCACACTTCAATAGGTTTAAAAATAGACTAGCAGGGTTCCTGCGTCATCCTAGGAGAATCCTCGCCTACCTACACTACCCCCCTCCCCCTCCTTCTCCCACCAGCCAGCCGTGCCTCTCTATGCTAATACGGCATGGAACAATTCTTCCACCTCTCACCTGCATCATAACCCACTCTGACGTAACGCCTGCAGAGGCATGACTATCCTTCAGAGCGCCCTGGGCGGGTCCTGCCTCAGAGTTATGCAGAGTATGCTGCCCTCTCAGGTCAGAGGCATGAGGAGAAGCAGGAAAAGCAGGCAGGTCGGCACGATGAAAAGCGAGGGAGACAAAGCAGATGTTTACCTGGCAACATAAATGGCAAAGCATGTAGCCATGACAACACATTTCCTCCACCTTTTCATGCTGATAATGGCCTGCTGAAGCCGAAAGGAGCTGCTGTTGTTGAATTAAGCTCGGGCAATTCATTGTTATGAAGCTGGAGGTTGTAAACAGTTCAGGGTCTCTCAGGTATTTGCCTCTGTACAGATAATCAGTGTGAAGAAGACAGTCAGGAGTTTCTGCACATCTGCAGCTCAGGGTTTGAGCTCAGGGCTATCAGTGAGGCCTTTATCTGTCATGTTGACTGGGTGTCCATGTCAAATGAAGCACTTTTTTCATTTTCATCATTTCACATAAAGAACAGCAGCACAGACTTCAATATCTGTTTGCTATAACCTCCATGTGTGCTCTATCAGAGTCCGGTAGATAAAAACATTCACCCTGCACTGGCTGGGTACCATTTAATTTTTTTTAGTTCTAGGTCAAATTCCTGGTCCCTTCATTCATTCCACTTTGTTTAGAGTCCTTTAGATAGCAGATCACACAGATCATCAAATTTCCATGGCAACCGTCTCCTTATGATATACCATCTTACATTGTTGTTAATTTGTGTTTTGAGTGAGGTGCAGATAAAATAAGCCTTATCTTCTACCTGCTCCCTTCCGGTCATGTGCTGTGCTACAGTTGTCGAATGCCTTTTGTATTTATGGAAATGTTAAAAATTGCCATGAGTGGAACAAATAAAAATAAAATGAAATATCACGTCCACGATGGGAAGGCCCTATATTATCTCATGCACTGGAGGTGTATCCAGAGAGAACCTGTTTTACAGGATATGCTCAGAAATAGAATCACTAGATCCTTTTTAAAGTTTTACATAAAGAAAGACATCCAGTTGGCCTGTGACTGTACATACGGACAAGCTTACCAAAAGGACCTTTTCCACATATTTTGCAGTGAGAGCAAATAGATCTTCAAAGGAAGGGCACCCAGAGTGCACCATTTTCATTTCATGCACAGAAAGAGGACACTTTTGTTTTCTAGCATTTAAGAGAGGCATCCAGAGGGTCATGCTTTTAAATGTTATACAGTGAAAACACTTTCAAGAGGCACCTTTTACAATGTGAGGAAGTGGAAGGACAAACCAGAAGGGACTCTAAATTTCATAAACTATAAAAGCATCAAGAAACAACTTTTTTTTATATTTCATGAACTTAAAAGGATATCGAGAGAACATTTTTAATGTTGGGTACCCAGAGGTCACTTTTTGTATTTCATGTGCTAAAGGGACATCTCAAGGACATGGTTCGTCCTTCAGGAGAGCAGCTACCAAAACCATATTTCATGCATTCACTATGAAAAGGGCGCCAGAGAGGGAATTTTAATGTTTTTTTTTTACCACAGGAGCATCTGAGGGGGCACTTCCTTGTGTTTTTTTCAGACAATGCAGCAGCGCTATCTCTTGATACACTCCCAATAACCAAAGCTCTGAGAACAGGTACAGCATTATTGAACATAAAGTTTAGAACATGTAAAAATTGTGTGCATTAAGGACCACTCTGTGGCACTCCAGTTCCAGGATGGAGTCTTTCCCTTTAAATATTCACAGAGTTCTCCTCATTTCTGAGCATGTTTGTGTGATTTTATGGTCCTATTTCTCCTGTAAGACCATGCTGGGAGTTTGTTTGAGCGTGGAGGAGCTGATAGAAATTGGCTTGGTGTTATACATCTCTCTCTCTCTCTCCCTCTTTCTCCTGACTCTTCCAAACCCCATCAGTCTCTGCAAAACCCAGGAAGTTTCTCCTGTATTTGATGTTCCCCGTCTGTGTAATTTAATCTCAGTGATTCCCTGCAGCTCTCTCTGACCATAAACCTCTACTCTAATAATAGGAAGCCCAGGCCCAGTCTGCGCTCTAATCTCTGCCTCTGTGAGTGGATGTTTGTGCCTAACTGCTCTTTCCTCTGTACCACTGAGATAAACGTACATTTGTTTTGACCGCTCCAACACTGAGGCCCACTGTAAATGGCAACAGTGATACAAAATTAGCAAAGAGGGAGGTGGTTCATATAAGGAAGACTAGACCCTAAACCATTAATGCTTGGTGAAACTGTGCAGATATCCCTATTAGAGGGCTGAGCGGACAAAAGTAATTGGTGCCATTGTGGAGAGAGCTACGACATGATGAAGGATTTTCACTGATTTGATGGTTAGGAAGTGACCTTGTTAGCTCCGTGTGCTCTGCCATATGTGTCTGAAGCAAAATACTTCCCACACTCAGCTGTGGCCTATCTAGAAAAACCCAAAACATGTCCTCCACTCAAGGTCTGTTTTCCAGTAGAAACATGGAGCTGGGAGAACAAAACAGAGCCCATAGGGATGAACAAATAAACAGCTGTTAAGCCTTCAGCCAAAATATGATGATGATATCATCATCATCACATTTGGGGTTCGGACAAAAATTAGTAATACTTCTTGGTGAGTATCAATGAAAGACAAGAGGTCAGAAAAGAGTTCAAGCTTTGCAGTGAGGGGGCTACCAGGTAACCCCTTAATAGTCACGTCCCAGTTAAATCCACTGTCAATACTTTTTATGATTTAGTGGAAAGACAAAATAATTAGCTCAAATGCTCCTACCTTACAGTTTGACAGCCTCTTCATACAAACATTTTCCACAGCTCACCATGTATTTCATATTTAAACTCTTCAAAGTAACTATAAAAATATCAATCTTCTGTGCAGGTACTCCTTCATTTATTAACAAACTATAATGCTCTAGTGCAGCACAGAAACTCATTTATAGGTGAATAACTTGGGGACGAAAATGACAGCAGAGTGAGCTGTGCTGTCAGCGCACAGTCACCATGATTTGGTGAATATCCTGTGAAATTACCTCTGGTATGAGCAGATAATCCTCAGTATTACGTAATGGTTTCTTTGTGTGAGTCCATACATGAGGGTGAAACACTCCAAGATGACACACAGCTCCAGGAGCTCCACTGTAAATATGTAATCAGTATTTGCAGTTAAAACTGAGCGGGGTCTGTTTCAGGAAGGAGGCTGGACAAAATCAGAGTCTCACTTGATTCTCTGAGTTTTCGTGTCTGGCCCCTGCTGACATTTTCCCTCTTATCTTCATCCACCGACTTATTTTTACTATTTTGTCTGATATTGCTTTTACTGTCTTCTTAAATCTCTGTCCTAACACTCCCAATTCTCCCAGTCATGAGATAGTTGAAAACACAAACCCAACTTTCAGTCCTCGCTGTTTACCTCCTGCTTATCTCACCATTTTCCTTTCATAAGCCTTCTCCTCTGAATTCTCCCAGGGCACCGACACTTCAATGAAGTGAACTTTCCGCTGACTGGTCCACTATAGTACTATGTAGGGACTCAGGGTAGTGCAGACTGGTATTTCTGCCAAATCTGAATTTTTCTGTTTCCCTCTACTGCGAAGCTATTTAAAACCGGGTTGTATCACTGTGTATACCTATAAAATAAAAGTAAAACATACAAAACTGAGGTACAAAACACTGCAGTTGGTAAGAGGCTGAACTTAAGTCAGACTTTCTCTTTCACATCAACATCAGAGACTCAAACTAACATGTTAACCAAAGTCAGCATTTTTTATTTACACACATTTTATTAGTGTGTAAATTAGATATTTTATTAGTTTTCTCTCACATTCAATTGCTCCAAAGTGAGGAGGAGAACTTCATGAGTAACTATATTTCACACACGTAGACGCCATATTGCTGACGGCATTTTCACATACAGTGCATCCAGAAAGTATTCATACCACTTCACTTTTTCCACATTTTGTCATGTTAAAGCCTTATTCCAAAATGGATTAAATTCCTTTTTTCTCTCAAAAATTCTTCACAAAATACCCCATAATGACAAAGTGAAAAACTTTTTTTTAGAACATTTTGCAAATTTATTAAAAATAAGACACTCAAATGTTGCATATACATAAGTATTCACACCCATTGCTATAAAACTCAAAATTGAGCTCAGGTGCATCCTGTTTCCACTGATCAGCCTTGAAATGTTCCTCCAACTTGATTGCAGTCCACCTGTGGCAAATTCAGCTGATTGGACATGATTTGGAAAGCCACACCTGTTTATATAAGATCCCACAGCTGACAGAACACGTCAGAGCACAATCCAAGCCATGAAGTCGAAAGAATTGTCTGTAGACCTCCGAAACAGGGTTGTATTGGCGCACAGATCTGGGGAAGGTTACAGAAAAATATCTGCTGCATTGAAGATCCCAAAAAGCACAGTGGTCTCCATCATTAAGAAATGAAGGACGTTTGGAACCACCAGGACTCTTCCTAAAGCTGGCCGCCCAGCCAAATTGAGCAAGCGGGGGGGAAGGGCCTTGGTCAGGGAGGTGACCAAGAACCCGATGGTCACTCTGACAGAGCTCCAGCGTTCCTCTGAGGAGATGGGAGAACCCTACAGAAGGACCACCATCTCTGCAGCACTCCACCAGTCAGGCATTTATGGTAGAGTGGCCAGACAGAAGCCACTCCTCAGTAAAAAGCACATGACAGCCCGATTGGACTTTGCTAGAAGGCACCTGAAGGACTCACAGACCAGGAGAAACAAAATTCTCTGGTCTGATGAAACAAAGATTGAACTCTTTGGCCTGAATGCCAAGCGTCATGTCTGGAGGAAACCAGGCACCACTCACCACCTCGCCAATACCATCCCTACAGTGAAGCATGGTGGTGGCAGCATCATGCTGTGGAGATGTTTTTCAGCGGCAGGAACTGGGAGACTTGTCAGGGAAAAATGAATGCAGCTAAGTACATCGAAATCCTTGATGAAAACCTGCTCCAGAGTGCTCGAGACCTTCGAATGTCCTTCAGTGGCCCAGCCAGAGCCCAGACTTGGATCCGATTGAACATCTTTGGAAAGACCTGAAAGTAGCTGTGCACCGAGCTGAGCTTGAGAGGATGTGCAAGGAAGAATGGGAAAAACTCCCTAAATCCAGGTGTGCCAAGCTTGTTGCATCATACACAAGAAGACTGGAGGCTGTCGCTGCCAAAGGTGCTTCGACCAAGTACTGAGTAAAGGGTGTGAATACTTAGGTATATGCAACATTTGAGTGTTCTTATTTTTAATAAACTTGCAAAATGTTCTAAAAAAAGTTTTTCGCTTTGTAATTATGGGGTATTTTGTGTAGAATTTTTGAGGAAAAAAGGAATTTAATCCATTTTGGAATAAGGCTGTAACATAGCAAAATGTGGAAAAAGTGAAGTGGTATGAATACTTTCCGGATGCACTGTATATGGAGAAACATGCCTCCTGACTGTTGTTAAATAACTGTATCAGTCCTGCCCCAAGATTCCACCGCATGCGGAACAGCTGCAGTTTTGATGCAGCCGCCAAATCCTACTGGATGCGATTGTGGGGCAAATTACCTGGCGAATTTTGGGAAGCAGGAATCACGAGAACTCACAAGAACCCACAAATTCACATGCGTGATGTCTCTATAAAGACAGCCACAGAACCATATAAGACGTTGATTGTGTCCTTCCAGAGGAGGAAACCCACTCTGTCCAGACCAGTAAATCAGACACTTTTGTGGAGATTGGTAATTAACCGTGAGTAAGTTGCCCCGCCAATGTTTTCATGGTGTGACACATGATCTGCCTGAAACACATAGTGTTTTCTTTTGAAAAGAAGCCAAATGTTTTATTTTGTGTCTGTGCCCATCCTTCTCTTCAGCACGGGCTAATCTGTGCTGAATTTATGCGGCATGCTGCGGTGTCCGAAAAAAAAATTGAACCTTGGCGATTGTCTACGAAGCCCACTGAACCGCAGGGGGCTGGAAAGAAGCCAGTGGAAATTGACACATTAACTTGAATCGAAACGATCAGCGACAATCGTCGCCAATGGCCTTTTTGCCGCCGTTCAGCATGCAGTAGAATTTGGGGGTAAGTTTGACTCTTGAATGTTTGCAGAGCTGTTATGATTATAGTTGTTGGACACATTTATAAATGGAAGATATTAGATTGGCTGACATGGCTTGATATGATAAAAGTAAAAAGTTAACATCAGGTCAGTGTAAACTAATGAGGCATGAGATAATAAATAACCCAATATAAATCATGTGTTCCTCCTAATAGTTAATATAATCATTGAGTATTTAAAAGTATTATACATTAAGTTTACATTAGCTCTTCATAGTCAGAAAACTCAGTTTCCACACGCCCTTAGCAAAATGGCAAACACACTGACGTATCACATCAATGCAGTGTCTATGTTAGTAATGTCTCTTGTTATCACCAGCTATGCAGCACAATGACAGTAATTTCATCAATATCCTTCAACACTGTACAGCAAGACATTGATGTTTTTTAAAGTCATTTTCTTACGAGAATAAATGCAGGAAAGCTGAAACAATGATTCAGTCAGAGATTAGCCACAGAGTCTAATGCTGTTTTTAAGTGTGATACCACACATCTCAGCTTTGTGCACAATCAGAGTCCTGGTACATTTTTCAATAAGGTGCTGACCCAGGGTGGATTGTGACTGATAAAGGAAATACTGTGTGAAAGTTTTACAAACTTTTGGCATGCCCTGTTTCTGGGTCTTTGTCATGTACACACTTTAAGAATTGATCCAGTTTTATAAATGAAACCACTGGATTTTATTCAGACATTTGTTGAATCTTTAATTACCCACAGACTTTTTGAATAGATGAATGAAATGACAGTGGTATCTTGGTCTGTAAGCAGGAGAAAGCAGAGATTTTCAGACTCACTGACCATATTAATTGACCCAGAGCTGCAGTTATCTCCTGCTGTGACAGGTTTGAGTGACCCTTGTATCTGAAACAGAGAACATAGAATTCCCCTTATTTCAGGGTTAACAGAGTTCAAATGAAACCTGCTTTCTAAAACTGGTCAGGTTAAGCCCTTAAACATTCAAAGTCTTAGCCAAATGCTGTGTGTTTATCCGTGCTGGTCATTGCTCCATCACCTCACAGCCATGTTTCATTTATGGCTCACATTAAAATAGAAGCGGCGCCATCAGCTCTGGCTCCAGTTATATTTCTCTAACAGAAGACACTGGAGAGGAATCAGCTTGGTGCTCTCAGCAGCCCTCTCCCACCGTTTAAATATTTCACTAGCTCAGAGAGCAAATGGCATCCTGATGCACCACACGATATTCAGCAAAGGTCAAGGTGGAATGGAAAGATTCACATCTGCGCCTTTTTTAGGACTCCTCAAGTGCAAGTGCTGCTGGGAAATGTGTTGGCAGCTGAAACATCAGCCTCAGATCTTTACTCAGCAGGTCGATATGTGGACAGCTTTCACTTCCACTCAACTCCAAGACTTTCTGCAAAACAGACTCATCCAGTGTCTTCTCAGACTTGTAGCCCTGAGTCAAAAGGGCCACTGAGCTGCATATTTAACATTGTTGTTACATTCAATACATCATGTAACTTGTACAGGCTTTTGACTGTAATCCAACTTTCAAAGGCCCGAAAGGAGTTTGAGCCAGGTGAGCCAGTCCGAGCTGCCTGCTCTGTTACGTTTCAGAATGAGTGAAGAAATTGGAGCTGCTTTTGATAAATTTCAGCTTCAGTTTGACACTTTGAAAACTGGACTCAGTTCCTATGGCCAAAGACTCTGTGAAATGGAAGAGGGGCTGGGAAGCCTAGATTCACCTGTTATTCTAAATGCTTTAAATAATAATTAAATGAAAAAGAACAAAGAGCTCAAAGACAGAATGAAGACAATAGAGATACACAGCAGAAAGCTGAGTCCACGTGTGTTTTGACTGAAAAATGACATTGAGAAAGGTGTGAGTGAGAATGTTCATGTATATGTTGAATGTATGTCAGATTCCAGGAAGAATCGCCAATGCTGCTACGGATGCTAATGGGAATTCCAATAAAGAAAGAAAGAACATCATAACACTGAGATTCAGATGTACCTCCTCCTTTGTTTGCCTGACAATGATGTGATCTTTAAGTGCACAGGTCACAGTGACTGTCATCCTTGTTTTCACTTGCAATTCTTTGGATTCCTGAAAGGCCATTGTCAGACACACTCAAAGGATGACACACATTCAAGGGCAACCCCCCCCCCCGAACCAGGTTTAGATTAAAACCTCTCAGCAGCCACACATTTGAGTGCTGCTGAAACCACAAGGGATGATATCACACAGAAAAGAGAGAGAGATAGAGACAGAGAGAGAGACAGAGACAGAGAGAGAGAGAGAGAGAGAGAGAGAGAGAGAGAGAGAGAGAGAGAGAGAGAGAGAGGAAGAACATCAGTGAGACTGTGCAGAAACTCTTGTGTAAAGAGCAACAAGTGAAGCTGTGTGCTGATGTGAAGGTTAATTACAGTTAACGTTGACATGAGTCAAACTTTCACTATCATCCCCTGGGGTGGTGCTCTGCATATTAAAGTTGTTGTGATAAAATGACAATCCCATAGGCAGTTAGTCATTTATCCTGGTGGGGTGTCACGAAATTGTCCGGACATACAGTCATGAAAAAAATTAGAAGACTCCCTTGTTTTCTTCAGTTTCTTGTTCATTTTAATGCCCAGTACAACTAAAAGTATAATATAATAAAAAATAGCTCATAAGAGTTTAATGTTATAGCTGATATTGAGCCATATTCCATGGTTTTCTTGAAAATAACCAAAATCACTTGAATTCTTACACCAAAAGCTACAGCATTGTCCCGCCAAAAACAAAGCTTTTGGGCATTCCATGTTTTCTCCTCTGTCTGTTGGTCAGACAATATACACAGGAGTTAGTACTTGACTGGATAACCATTGTTTTTGATGACTGCAGCCATGCATCTTGGCATGCTATCCACCAGCTTCTGACATAGTTCTGCTGCCACAGCAGCCCATTCCTGTATCAAAATTTCTACCAAATCTGCTTTGTTTTTAGGCTTGTGGTCCTCCATTTTGAGTTTGATGATGTTCCACAGGTTTTCAATTGTATTTAGATCTGATGATTGAGCAGGTCAAGGCATGGTTTGAATGTTTTTGTTCTCCATCCAGATTGAAAATTTAGTCCTTTGAGCCAGGAAAGAGTTTATCAGCTGATGGAAGAAGACTGTTCAAGGGTAGCCCTGTACATGACCTGGTTCATTCACCCTTCACACAACTGCATTTGCCCTGTTCCACCCACACTGAAACAACCCCAGATCATTAACAATCTACCCCCATATTTTACTGTAGGGGCAAGAGAGTCTGGTTTGTAGGCTTCTCCAGGCCTCCTCCTAACCATAAGTTAGCTGGAGTGGACACACTCAAAGTTGAATTCATCCCTGAGGAGAACCTCAGCCCAGTCATCAACAGTCCAATCCTTGTGATCCTTAGCAAAGAGTAACAGAGACTTCCTCTGCCTTTTGTTGACAAAGGGCTTCTTCTGTGCCCTGTGTGACTTCAGACCATCTTTAAGAAGTGGATTTTGAACAGTCCTTGCTGAACATGTTGACAGCGCCGGCCCATTTTTAAGGTCCCAGGAGGTCTGACAACAGTTCCTGACAGGAATGGATGAGTGCACGGTCCTCTCATGGGGTAGAAAGACGTAGCCTTGACCAGCTAACAATTTGGTAGTACCATGTTTGGCTTGCTTTTTCTTGGTGTAATGAACAGCTGGTCTTGGAGACCCTCAGGTTTTTGGCTACCTGTCTCTCACTCATGTCAATTTCCACTATTGCCAAGATGGCTGCCTTTGTGTCTTCACTCACTCTTTGTTTTAGGCATTATGTCAGAGCTGACAACTTCTGAGTTGTGCTATGGCTTGACTGTATGCGGTAAACAACTCTAGGCCTTTGCATGTGCAGTTCTGCTAATGGCATGAAATGGTCTCTTATATACCCTGGGGATATAAGTAAGCTTAAGCGTGTCAAATAGGACATAAAATATTATGGAATTAGCAACATTTTTTGTTATGTTCATTGTATTCTTCAGGTAATATACCTTTCATGGTATCAGGTATTAAAATGAACAAAAAATTGAAGAAAACAAGGGTGGTCTAATCACTTTTTGCATGACTATATATCAGATGCCTTCATGCAAAAAGCCGCCAAGTATTATGTAGTTTGAAAACCCACCTCATCACCTACAGAGGTAGAGTTTGTCATGTGCAGTCCTAGATATAACCTCCAAAACCTCACCGAAGATGCTCAAACACCAACCCCTTTGTCCATTTGTCCTTTAGATAAATCGACATGTCAATTATTAGTTTGTAACACACCTATAGGACACATATTACCAATAACAGCATATAGACAGTACTTCATTAAGGATTTATTCATCTCAATACAACACTGTCTCCACTTTAGATTCAGTAACTGTAAGAAAACTTTTCAAGCTGTTGAAAAGATTTAAAATAAAATAATTTTTGATTCTTTTAAAGCATTAATCTGAACTTTTTATAGTCTTATTTATGTTATTCACAGAAGGGTTATTTTGTCTTTATATCATCCCTCTGTTAACTTTTAGCAGCTGCTGTCATTGAAATACTCAATCTAAGGCTTTGTCCCCTTAAGCCCCCCCAACATTTGAGAATGCATCATTCTTGAAGCCTCCTTTACTGTTGCCATGCACAATGTTGTGTTTCTTTTTATAAAATGACAAATTTGACATTTTTAAGAGATTCACTGTCTGGTGATGTGACAGTCCGAGCAGACCTCACACTGATCTCGCTGAAATCTCATGTGACTTTTTCAACAAGCCATTCAGAACCTCCTGTTTTTCTATCAGCGGGATACTTCAACACACATAAACCCTCACTCTGGAACTTTGTCCATGTATAGTACTGACATCTGACATTCTAACTTTACACTTGTTTTTAAAATATGAAAAAGAGTACATTTTCAAATTTCCAGTGAGTGCTTAAAGGAAGCTTCCAACCAATAAAAAGTGCTATTTATGATTTGAATAAAGCCTCATATAGTTATATTCATGTTATAAAATGTTATAAAAAAGTTATACAATTTTAAAAGGTTTCTATATGCTTTAATTGGTAATATGTTAATTTGGTCAATTATGCTATTATAAACGTATAAAAAAGATATGGATAAAAGATAACAGAAACAAGATGCAGACTGTGCTTATATACCAGAGTTTTACATGAGGGTTTTATGAATAACAGGACATTTCAATTAATGAATGAAGAACACAGTTTTTATTGATGGCGACACCAAAAGCAAAGTCCTGGTGCATGCAGGTCCTTCTCCACGTATGACAGTCTTTGGGGCCAGATACCAAGGATGCGTGCTGTGAGTGGATTTGGCCATGCCCAGTAAGTGTGGAGTCAGTGTTTACCAGTTTACAACAGGGCTAACACCCATGTCAGATGTTTACTTCTGCAAAAAGGCCTGCTCTCTCCCCTCAACATATGCGTGCAATCCATCCACGAAGAGCGAAAGAGATACTTTGAAATTACATAACCACTTTAA